TAATAAGCATGCCAAATTCGATGGTTTCATGAAAAAATATTCCCAGCAATGTGTTTCTGCAAGGAGTTATGATTTTTTCTAATGAAAATTGAATTAAGGGTAGAAGGGGGTGTATTTTCGTGAGACAAAATCAGCGACCCTTTTGGGGTTAATAAGCATGCCAAATTCGATGGTTTCATGGTCGGGGGTGTATTCAATTAATTGACAGAAAAAATATTCCTAGCAACGAATTTATATTTGGAATTATTTTTCTGCTTCTATTATTATCAGTTGTTTGTACAATTTCAATAAAATGCGGTTCATTTCATAAAAAAAAAGGATTTTCATCATCATTTGAATCATTTCCAATCACATCAGTTCGTTTCCAGCAATGAGTCTATCAATGTAAAAATTTCCATGGCTAGCCATGTGAATAAATGCGGTGAAACGACCTAGGGCGGAATAGCGCGCTCGCCTCTCTTTCACCAAACACATGGATGAAAACGCATGGCCACCTTCACACTGGTCCACAATCTGTGATATCGAAACGAAAAAATTGGTTTTTATCCTTATTTTAACTGCCTTAATACTGAAAAGAATTTGATCATAAATATTGAAATTTCTACTGAACATTTTGTGAATTAATTTTGTTCAATTTCCCATTATATAACAAAATTGATTGGCATTTTTTTTAGATTATTGAAGACGATTTACTTTGGACGAATGATATAAAGCCAAATTAGAGATTTTTTGCAAAAGCTGCCTCTCGCCCGAACTGAGAGATCCTAGATAACCAAGGAAATTGGTATTCCACAAGTCATAACGACAGTGAACATACTGTTGAAATATCTATCTTTTCAACTCTTTCAGGTTATTTTCAAGTTTTCTACAACGTCGCATCAATATGATGAGATTTGTTGAACAATCATTAGAACATATTATTACGTATTAATCTCGAAATACAATAGAGATTATACAGGGTGTAACTGAATAATTGTAAAACATTTAAGGAGGTGATTCCTCATCGAAAAAAAGATAGGATCTTTCGTATATAGAAACTCCATTGAAGCAACCTTGTTAAGATACAGGGGGTACATAAAATTTGTATAACATTTTTTTTTCAGAAGCACTGAAAAAGTTACAAAATTGAAATTAACCTGACGTTTTGTACTACCAAAAAGACACTTAGCCAGTAATTTATTTGGTTTACCCCATGGTTGTAAGGGGTGGAAAACGCAACCCATAAAATTTATTTCCAATGTAACTTTTTGTCTTATTATTTGTTTACCGTTTAAAAATTTATTTCCGATAGCCTGTTTCATTCTAAACAANAGTTTCGTATTTTCGCATTTATGACGATGTATATCTGTAGTTGTTCCTAAAATAATTTTTTGCTGCGAACTGGTTCATTTCGGGCAGAAAACTCAAGAGATATTCTTTGGTAAGAATGAAACAGGCTATCGGAAATAAATTTTTAAATAGTAAACAAATGATAAGACAAAAAGTTACATTGGAAATGAATTTTAGGGGTTGCCTTTTCCACCCCTTACAACCATGGGGTAATCCAAATAAATTTCTGGCTAAGTGTCTTTTTGGTAGTACAAAACGTCAGGTTAATTTCAATATTGTAACTTTTTTAGTGCTTGTAAAAAAAATTGTTATACAAATTTCATGTACCCCCTTTAAGGGGCTGTATCTTAACGAAGGATGCTTCAATGAAATCTCTTTATATGAAAGATCCCATCTTTTTTCGATGAGGAATCACCTCCTTAAATGTTTTACATTTATTTAGTTACACCTTGTATTTTTTATACCTAAATACATTTCAAGATTTTTCGTCTTTAAACAAACAACATATCTTCTCGACTGTCTGCCATAACAATACAGAGCATGTATTTATCGATAGAAATATGATTGCCTAGGTATTTATCCCTGAATACAGCAATTACCTACATAAAACACTATTTGGAGATGTGCCTTTCGCAAAGTGAAGGTGAAATGACGATACAAATACATTGGTCATTGAGGGAATGCCATCAAATAAAATATAGACCCTTAATCTATCAACTCAAATATTAACAAATCATGGGGCAAGAGGACCGATTCTCATATCAATTTAGTCTATTTAACTAACTGTAAAATTTTCTGGTGAGCCGGGATTGACGAAACTGTCGACTCCAATGCTCAAGTAAAAGGGGTCCAGGTAGCCCCATTCCAAAGTCGGCCGGTCACCTTACCACTCATCCATTGTCATTATCCCTCAACACGCTTTCTGCCCATTCGTTCACAAATCGGATTCATTCACCCCTTTCCATTTTTGTTCCTGACTCTAAACTCCCTGTTCTCTCGCCTTTTTTCCATTCATGTCAACAAATTATTTCCCCATCCAGGCATCTGACGGTCACATCTTCTGTCTTTTCAGGCTCTCTCCAGCCTCAGACACAGTTCCTGACCCAGGTTGAGCCTGTCAAGATATCAAGGGAAAGTGCAGTTGGACAGCCTTTCATGTCAGATTCACAGCCTGCTTTACAGTATCTGTAAAACAGCCGCTCAGTCATGCCGTTCTTCCATTCTCTCTGCCATGCTTCTCTAATATTTCATTCAACCCTTTGGGGTCCTCATTCTCGCTGCAATCGCTCTCCACCTTTCACGTAACTACTAACTTATACTTTTTATCACAATCTTCCATAAATTCCAAATTTATCAGCTTCGAATTTTCCCTGTATTAAAAAAAACTAATGACCAACTTAACATCAAATTACTTTTGAAAAATTGTAGATTTATGAAGACACTCCGACTAAGAGTTTTTCAATTAGCATAAGAGAATTGTCCATTTTGTCAGAAGTTGTAGATTAAGTCGAAACTGTGATGTACGTTTTTTGCACAGTTGACGAACTGGAAGTTTCATGACGAATTTATTAATGTTATTTAAATTTTTCTATTAAATATCAAATAACTTACAAAAAGTTTATCTGCAAATGATCTTTGTACCTTTCCAAATTAGTAATGACAATGTCTAGATAATTTTATGGGTGATGTATAATATTACGAATAAAATATAGTAACCTTTTCCCATTCTCATAGCATCTGGTTCTCCATCAAAATATTCATCAGGCAATTCGTTAAATCCTACATTTGGATCAATCTCCATCGCATACAAGTTGAGAAATCCCTTGACTAAAGTTGGCACTTTGGTAAATTTTTGGTCAAAGGCATCCGATATGTTATGAGCAGGATCGGTAGAAATAATCAAAACACTTTTTCTCACTTTGGATAACTGCACTGCCAAACTGCAACTGAGAGACAAGAGTTAATAAAAATACTTCCAACTTTTTCACCAATGTCCTGGTACAAGTGACGTTTATATGCACGACAAGACGTTAGATGGGTGATGTGTAATGAGTAATTGGTATCCAAGATAAATTTTTCCAACTCAATAATACTAGAATATTATTGGTAAAGTAAGAAAAAATATATTTGAAGAGCTCTCATTACCTCATATCAGCCTCACGAAGACTTCCAATGAGCATTTAATAAGAAGTAGCTGGTATGTGGCAAAAATGATGTTAAACGATATTTTTGTTACACTTTCACTTTGAGCCACATTCTTTTATTGGCGTAGTCAATAAAGGGCAGATGCCTGGTTTCGGCCTTTTTTAATTCTTCGGAGGGTGAAAAGTGTGTTTAAATATAAAAACTGATGCGAAACTAGGCCATTGTAGGACCATTGATAGGTCCGTACCCAATGGTGATTATGTGAAATGTTTCCTGCTGAATGGATCAGGTCACCATTAATCAAGGTATCCATTGTTATAATTTCATTTATACATCAAAATATACATTTATTCATTATTAATATTATGACTATATCACGTCAAAGACCAGTCTTGAATTCAAATGAATATAGTCTTGTTCACATGTACTTTTTTTTGTAACATTTTTCAGCCCTGTCCAAAAATTACGACCAAGGTGTCATTCGATTCGTATTTTTGTCTAGAAAGTTTAAGGAATTACATAAACTTCGTGTCATGTAACAATAAATCATAAGGATTTTATTACTTGCACTTTTAGTAGTTGTAGGATCATTAACATTCACTTATTGTCATATTTGTATGGTGTTTGAGAAAATTAAATGAAGCAGTCATTCTGTTAATTTAATTTTAATGAGTTTATTCATTAACCTTCTTTAAATTTCCGATGCTCACAAATTTTTAAATTACTTTAAAATTCCGGTTTATACCTGTATGCGATATTCTTTTGTTACATGGAAGAAACATCTGCTTACGGTTTTGGAGGGTTTACCTTTATACCTGACTTGAACAACATTTATATATCTCCAGAGCATACCATATAGTTCTAGTATTTAGTTAACAGTGAAGTAGTTCGTATCGTTCGTGTATTTTATTCGTCTGGAATTTTATTGTTAACATATTTATTATCAAAAATGGCCATTGATATTTCTGTGAGTTGTTTTATTTGTGGCAATCTACTAGAAGTATTTCCCACGATTATTCTGAAAGAAAAAGCTATCAGTTCTTATATTTCTTATAGTCAAACTTTGAATGATGATAAACACAAACTTTTAGAGAACCTAACTGAAGTTAAAATTCACCGGAAGTGTCGAGATGATTATTATTACTCTGCCAGAAGTGTTGCTACAATTCCAGAACCTTCTACATCTCGTTCTTCATCACGTGGCTCCGAGGATTTTGATTTTTCACAATTGTGTCTCTTCTGTGAGAAACTATGGCAAAGCAAAAGACGCGAAGAGAAGTTTTTGGTGAAATCAGACGATTTGAAAGCGAAATTTATCGCAGTTTCCGAGCATAGGAATGATCCTATGGGCGTTAAAATACTAAATCGTATAGCAGGTGTAGAGTCGTTAGTTAAAGTTGGTGCGCGTTATCATAAACGTTGCTACGTTGCTCAATTTACTTCCAGCCAATTACTCAATATTATGGGCCAGAAGACAACTGAGACTAATTTGTTGAAGCATTTGAAGAATAAGTACGGTGAAAACATCGTTTTTTACCAACAACCTGGTGAAGATACTATACATAATTTGGAAAGTTGGCCTGCAATTCCATCATCACTTGCATCTGTTGCGACATACCAGGGTAAAGCCAGATGAGGGTTAGGTTAGGTCTAGAGTAAGTGGGTCTATTCGACCCTCCAACGCAACCCGCAAGGGTTTATTGTAGCTCACACGAGCTACAATAGCCGATTAGTTTGTATGGCGAGTGGTCTTTCCAGTCAGATGGTAAGAGTACGGCTCTGCCGAACTCTAAGAACCTGATTCGGTTCCCAGCGGGGCAGGCACAAAGTATATGCTCTGCTGTTTCATCATTTTCCAAAAAGAGGCGACACACACTGTCTTCCAGTCCGAGTCTCTGCATATGATGATTCAAATGACAGTGACCACCTGTAAGAAGGCCTGTTAGACATCGTAGTTCATCCCTGCTGTAGTCCAACAACTGTTTGGTATCAAGCTTCGAAGGGTGAATAAACGCCTTGGAGTGAGCCAATCCTGGAAGATTCTGCCAGAAGTCTATAAATCTTCTTGCCATCCAGCTGTTCAAAGTTTGTTTGGCAAAGCCTAAAGCGATGCCAATGACAGGTTCTGGTCCGATGAAGCTGCTTGCAGCACCCTCCTTTGCAAGGGAGTCAGCAGCTTCGTTGCCTTCCAGGCCAGTATGGCCAGGAATCCAGACCAGAGACAATCTGTTAGGTCTTCCTATCGAGGAGAGTCGTTTTTGGTAATTTGCTACCAATAGATCAGGATGGTATAATAACGTAGCCCGTTTCAATTTTTTCTTCAAGTCTTGAAATTACTTTTCCTGCGCCTCTCTCCATTACCATCGTGAAAACTTTCTTAGTAAATGAGTAAGATGAGCGGACAGCTTGGCCATTCTGGGGGAAATAATTACAAAGCCCAAGAAATTTCTGTACCTGCTTAACATTCTTTGGACGTTGGTAGTATGATGTCGCTTGTATTTGCTCGGGATCCGGGTGCATACCTATCGGACGGATGCATAACAGAATTCAAGTGTCTTGCATCAAGACAAATTCGAACGCTACCATCTTTTTTAAGAGTGGTCACGAGAGGAGATATGTAAGGTGTAGATGTTCGTTCTATCACCCCCCCAACTTTCCATCTTTGCAATTCCCGCTCGGTTTGCTACTGGTATCGGATACGGTTTGATAAAAAATTCGTTGTAATTTTTCAATATTATGGAATGTTCATAACAGTTCGTGTGCCCTGGTATATCCGAAAATATCGAGTAATACGTTTTTTAACAAACTCTTGTCTTTTTCCGGTAAATCACAAGACAATAACAGTTGACAAACATCAAAATTATTTTCACAAACAGTAACGGGACATCCGGTAAATAAATGGGTTTCCTATTTCCTTGGGGTACGATTTGTTTATGAGAGCCGACATAGTCATGGGAAGCGGAAATTGGTGAGGAAAATTGTTTTCATGGATTTTTATTAGTTTTTCATTCACAACAAATTGCAAACACCTCTCTTCTAATTTAATTAATACCTTATATAGCTTCAAAAGATTTGGTGAGCGAAACCGATATTTTGGAACGTGAAACTGGGTGATGTTTCAAACGATACTTTTTTTTAATTTTGCCTTAAAAGCATTCACTACTTTTATGCCTGAACACGGAAAATGGGGTATTATATCATGGAAGTCTGAAAGTTGACTCCATAACTCAAATGAAATAGCGGAAATGGTACTTCCAGTATCGATCATTGCCGAAAATTGGAATTTATACATTTCCACTAAGATGATTAAAAAACGTGTATCGATGGGCTCATGATCAAAATCGCCCTCCTCTAATAACTCATTCACCGGATTATTACTTACATAAATGGCTCTATTAAAATCCGTCCCAAATTCGAGCCTAGGTCTGGGATTCAACTCATGAATCTAACAATGAAATATTTTTGTTTGAAAATGTTTATGATTCGGTTTGGAAAATGTTTTATTAACCGCCAGAATCGTATTAGTATTATATATACCGTTATGTTGGTACGATGACCTTCCCATAATCGGCCTGTCGCAATCTGTCGACCGCTGATAACAGTGAATCAGTTTCTACCAATACCGCCGAAATGTGCGGAAGATGACGCGCAATTATATTTATTACTATACGGGGGTTGTAAATGTCTAGCCATTGATAAATATTTAATGAAATAATTTACAAAAGAACCGTCACTTTCCCTATATCTCGCAGACTCCAACTTTATTTTCAGTGGCAATTGCCTTGTAGCTCCCCAAAACTGATCCAAGAAAGCTTTGCGAAATTGTTGATAATTAACAAAAGTATTCGCGAACGCATCAAACCAAAGTTTTGCTGGTTCCTCAAACAAGTTACTGATGCAGAATATAAATTGGTTGAAGCTTACGTTACTGACATCTAAGAATGTTTCAATATAATTCAAGAAATCTAGGGGGTGTAAGGTACCCTCGTTATTAAAGGTAGGCAATGATTTACATGCATTCAGATCCCCGAAATTATTCTCTCTGGGTCTGTTATTCATTTGATTACAATTTGGTATAGGACAACTACACACATCGGAAAAGTCTAGGGATATTTTTATAACATACTAAATATCATAAAAATAAATGCATGAGGTCGTTTAATTTCGATTAAATTGGTACACTCGACCACCCTGTAGATTTCTATGGGTTGAACAAAGCCTGCAAAAACGGTAACTAATCTTTTATCAAGTTTTTTACAAACTGTAGGTTTTCGGCTAAAATGAATAATCTGAAAGTGTCGAGTTTGTACATTCTATGCAGTTCTCGCTCAGCAATTAAACTGGAAATATTGTGCTTTAACATGGAATGCCATCACTTACCATTGGCTGAGATGAATAGAGCTGTAGGGCTTCTTCAAGGTGGCATGCGACAAAATGATGTAGCTCTTCGTTTGGGGGTCTCCCAAAGTGTTATCAGTCGATTGTGGCGGCGTTTCCGTGAAACTGGCAGTCCAGCCGAACAACATCCAGGGCGAGGACACGCTACAACTGCAGTGCAAGACCGATTTTTGGTCTTAACCGCAAGAAGACAACCGACAATCACAGCACCTGAGTTGGTTAACGTGTTGTAGCAGACGCACCAGGTAACCATTGGTCGTGATACTGTCAGAAATCGACTGCATGAAGCAGATCTCCACAACAGAAGGCCACTTAGATGTCCACCTTTGTCGAGAGGCAATCGCGGTAGAAGATTAGAGTGGTGTCAAGAACATCAAAACTGGGATGCAAATGATTGGGCCAC